GCATGACATGCATGATTTGTTTCATATAGATCTTGTTTATTCTGGTGGTGTTGTATTGTGGTTGCTTTTCAAGTCGCACAATGAAGCCCCCACCCAACTACTTAGAACCAGTTGTCACATGTGCATAATTCAGTCCACCAATATCTCAAAGGGGCCCTGAGAATGTTGACGTTTGCACAATAGCTGAAAGTTAGCTTCAGGCCAAGGTTTGTATTCCAGGAGGGGTATTAGGCTTACATGTGGTTGCAACAGCAATGCACAGACTGTAGCTAGATCCCAGAATGTACACTTGTTCGATAGACTTTTTATCGCAACTTCACATAACCAAGAACTCGTCCGACCTCGCACCGAGGTTTCTGTTTCCCTCCAAAAATTTCAAATGTTCGCTCTGACGGAACTTGCCAGGGCCTTTGTCAGCCAATCCCCGCCTCTCCCTGGTGATCCGAACCTCATCGTTTCGAGCCTCCTGTGAGTGAGGTACCATGTTTGGCTTGGGATGGAAATTGGCGGAATTCAGCCGCCATGACGGTGGGAGTTCCCTTGGTTTCTTCTTTCAGTTTGGAGGCTCGTGGGGTTAGTTGAGAGCGGGATGAGGCAGCTCCCTTGGTTTCTCCTCGGCGGAATCAACCACATGTTCTACTTGCCTCTACTTGTCGCTTCCTTCGCTCCACTTGCACTATCTTTCAAGCCTGCCGTTTTCTTATCTCCGATCTGGCTCCTTCTCCAGCAGTGTCAGCTGCTGGTCGCACTAGCCGCTAGTTCACTCGCATGGCTGCACTTGAAGTCAAATCATATTTATATTTGCCGCGACTTCGTCTGGCAATCGATAATCATATGAATGACAGTTTAGCCGAATGTAGTGAGGACGTTGTCAAGTCGTGGCGGATTGGGATTCCAAGTTAAGAAGGTATCGTAAGTCAGTTCAACTGGATCTGATCCCGCGGATATGACGTTAACATGCTAGTCTAGACGGCGTTCCAGTTGAGACGGATAGCAGGACGGCGTTCCAGTTAAGAAGGATAGCAGGACGGCGTTCCAGTTGAGACGGATAGCAAGCCGTCAAGCGAGGTCTCCTCGTAGAGGCAACGCCGCCGCTGCTTCCAGCGTCGTAGCCTCTGCTTCCACCGTGAATGCAGCGTCGCTGCTGTTTTCATCATCAACGCGACGTAGCCTCTATTTCCGCCAATAATGCAAAGTTGTCGCTGCTGTACCCGCCAAAGCTTAGCTACTTGTTCCGCTGGAGAAGCAACGACTTAGCTGCTCTTGGCGTCGAAGCTTACCAGCAACGGCGCTGTTGTTTTCGTCGTCAACGCTAGGTCGCTGCTATTTCCGCGATAGATCGGCGTCGCTGCTGTTTCCGCCGTCAAAGCGACGGAGCTGCCGTTTCTGCCGTCAAAGCGACGGAGCTGCTGAATCCGTCGTCATAGCGACGGAGCTGCTGAATCCGTCGTCATAGCGACGGAGCTTCTGAACTCCGCCGTTAAAATACCGTCGCTGCATTTTCTGCCATCACACGAAGTTGCAGAACGTCCTTGACTTTGTAAGTGTGATGGGAAGAGCTTTCATCGGGGGTGAGCAAAAATCAGGGGATTAAGCGCAGAGTTTCAGTCTGACATCCCTTGCGCTAGTCTCCCCCTCCTTCTTAGCGAACCTAACCAACTATTTCTTCTTGTCTCTGTTTCTGTTTATGGCAGGCACGCCTGTGTCTGCTTGCGTCTGCCTCATGGTCTCCTCCAGGCCCGCGCGTAAGTGGCGGAGCGATCCATCAATGTGCAGCATTAGTGTGTTTCAGAAGCGGGTCAAAGGCAGCGACGCGGTGGCGATCACAACGAGAGCAAAGACTGCAGCAGCAGCAGCAGCAACCGAGCAACCAGGGGCACCACGCCTCAAGTGGCGGAGCGGCGGAGAGGCAGAGCGGCGGACGGAGCGCGGTACGTGCCAGGGGGTGCTTGCAGGGGGGCAATGAAGTGAGTCGTAGGACGTCGCCGCGCAGAGGCAAGAGTCGTGGCTGTTGCCCTTGCCTCCACCATTCGCCTCCTGCTGCTTCTTACCCTCCAATGATGCACCGCTTCTGTGTGCGTGTCCCTCTTCCCGTGCGTGTGAGTGTGTCTCACGGCCTGCGAGGCGGATGGGAATGGCAGGTAGTGGACGGGGAATGGCCGGGGCTGCCGTTGCTGGCTCGCACCAGAGACAATCTGCAGCAGCTCGCCTCAAGTGAAGGCGTGGCGCAGCAGTCGGAGAGCGGCAGACGGAGCGCGGTACGTGCCAGTGGGTGCTTGCAGGGGGGCAATGAAGTGAGTCGTAGGGCGTCGCCGCGCAGAGGCAAGAGTCGGTTCTGTTGCTTGCTGCTCCGACACTCTAACCCTCCCTTGTTTTGCTGCTTCTGTTTGGCTGTCTCTCTCTCCCCATGCGTGTGTGTGCCTCACGGCCTCCGAGGAGGAGGGGAATGGCACCGCGTAGACGCGGAATGACATGGAGTGGACGCGGAATGGCATGGAGTGGGCGCGGAATGGCATGGAGTTGGCGTGGAACGGACGGGACTTTCGTTGCTGCCTCGCTCGAGTGTCATCCCAAAGCAGCACGCGTGAAGTGAAGGCGTGGCGCAGGAGTGGGACAGCGGCGGACTTAGCACGGTACGCGCCAGGGGGTGCTGGTAGGGAGGCTGTGAAGAGAGTCGTAGGGCGTCGCCGCGCAGAGGCAAGAGTCCTTGCCCTTTCCTCCACCATTCGCCTCCTTTCCTACTGCTTCTAACCCTCCTTATTGCGCTGCTTCTGCGTGCCTCTCTCCCCTCGTGTGTGTGTGCCTCATGCGTGTGAGACAGGGAATGGCAGGGAGTGGACGGCGGGTGACAACTGTGCGGGCTTCGTTCCTGCCCGAGACGCAGCAGCAGCGCTGGTGAATGCAGCACCGCTGGTGCCTTGAAGCAGCAGGAGCAGCGCTAGTGAATGCAACAGCGCATTGACTTTTCAGGCAAGTATGATCTCATGTGAATGCTTTGCCTTTTGTGATGCCAAGCGCTCATGCTTGTACCGCACGTTCTTCACTGCACTCATCTCTGAAATCTCACAACTTACTGGTTTTGGCCTGACTCACAAGCCGCGGTCCCTTCTCATTGCAGGCAAGTTGGAGCAGCACGCCTGGCACCTGAAGCACGGGCCGCAGCAGGTGCTGCTTGGGTCGAATGTAAGGCACAAGAGTGGCAGCCTCTGCTAAGGAGGAGAAGTGGTTTGTGCCAGGGGTTGCTTGCAGGGGGGCCGTGAAGTGAGTCGTAGGGAGTCGCCGCGCAGAGGCAAGAGTCGTGTCTGTTGCTCTTGCCTCCTCCACTCGCCTCCTTTCCTGCTGCTTCTAACCCTCCCTTGTCGCGCGCCTTCTGTGTGTGTTTCTCTCTCCCCATGCGTGTTTGTGCCTCACGTCCTGCGAGACGTACGGGAATGGCAGGTAGTGGATGGGGAGTCGACGCGGCGGCTGCTGCTGGCTCGCACTAGAGACAGCAAGGAGGAGCACGCCTGATGTGTAGGCATGGCGTAGCAGTGGGAAGAGTGCCGGACGGAGTGTGGTACGTGCACGGAGGGGTGCTTGTAGGGGGACCGTGAAGTGAGTCGCCGCGCAGAGGCAAGAGTCGTGTCTCTTGCGTTTGCCTCCGCCACTCGCCTCCTCTCCTGCTGCTTCTAAGCCTCCCTTGTTCCACTTCTGTCTGCGTGCGTCTTTCCCTTTGCGTGCGTGTGCCTCATGGCCTGTGAGATGGGAAATGGCAGGGAGTTGGAAGTAACAAGTGTGCGGGTCTCGTTCTTGCCTGAGACACAGCAGCACCGTTGGTGAATGCAGCAGTGTTGGCGAATGCAGCAGCGCTGGTGACTTTTCAGCCAAGTATTTTCTCCTCCGAACGCTTTGCCTTTTGTGATGCCAAGCGCTCATCCCTTGTATTGCACGTGCTGCACTGCTCTGTCCTCTTGAACTCTTGCGAGGTTGCTTTTGGCCCAACTCAGAAGCCACAGTCTATTCTTATTGCAGGTATCAGCAGCAGATAACCAGCAACCTGGAGCAGCAACGTCTTAATTCTGGAGCACAGGCCGCAGCAGGTGCTGCTTGGGGCGAATGTGCGGCGCAGGAGCGGCAGGATATGCCAAGGAGGAGAAGTGGTACGTGGCATGGGGTGCTTGCAGAGGGGGAGTGAAGTGAGTCGTAAGGCGTCGCTGCGCAGAGGCAAGAGTCGTGTCTGTTGCTTTTGCCTCCACCACTCGCCTGCTTCTAACCCTCCCTTGTTGCATTGCTATTGTGTGGCTGTCTCTCTCCTCATGCATGTGTGTGCCTCACGGCCTGCGAGACGGACAGAGGGGGATGGAGCGGACGGGGAATGGACGAGAGGCAACCAATTAGCAAGGAGAAACGGCGCCTATTTTCCTGCTAAGTTTCTTCAAGTCAAGAGGTAACTGGGAGTTCAGATGCACCATGCATGGCATTCTATCACAGTCCCTTCTCCAGCTTTCGTCTGCCATCTCATCCACTCGCTTCTGCCCGGCCTCTCATCCACTCACTTGTCCTCTTCCTGCTCAGACCTCGCTTCCTCTTCCTTGACTTCCCTCCTCCCCTCACCTCCAGGCTCCAGCACTCAAGGGGCAGTGATCACCAGTGGCTGCAGCAACGGATCACCAGTGGCTGCAGAACCTGCAGGGTGATGGCGAGCATACAAGGAGTTGTGAGTCCATCAGATCAGCCAGTACACTGCTTCTCCATTCACCGTCTTGTTGCGTTCTCGTGTTTAGTTCGGTCGTGTCTACCATCTCCCCACGCTGCCCACGTATCTTTGCGGTTGTCTGCTTTTCGCAACTCTCTGCCCATTCATCAGCAGCTTGTCAGAATGTTGTATTTGTCTAGCCTGCAGTGGGGTACTCCATAGCGAGTACAGCCCAATTTAGGGTTTCCTATATGTACTCAACTGCTTGCTAGTGCAACCACTCTTTCTTCTCCTAAACTTTCTACTCGCTATCTTCACACAGCTTTTATCCAAAGCGCGCGCCGTTGGCAGTAGCAGCACTGGTGGCAGCAGCAGCACTGGAGGAGTGAGACATAGCCAAGTGCCGCACCCGTTGTCCAGAACCAGCCGCATGGGCAACGGCGCCAGTGGTGGCAGCGGCACCAGTGGTGGCGGCGTCAGTTGCAACGTCAATGGCAGCTGCAGTGGCGGCTGCAGCAGAAAAGGAGGGGTAAGTGCAGCTTATCCTATCGCAACCAAGTTCCCTCTATTTGTTGGTTGTTCAATGCCGCCCGTGCTCTTGTCAGGTGTCTTAGAGCTTACCCGTCTCCCCTCACCCGTGTCTATGTGGCTTGGCTCCTTGTCTTGTCTTACTGTATGCAATTATCATGATCCCCTCGCCTCGCTCCCCACTCCATGGCCAGGATGATGGCCAGGCCAGCACACATGGAGTTGTGAGACTCTAGATCAATAAGCACACCTGGAGCAGCACGCCTCGAGTGAAGGCGTGGCGCAGGAATGGGAGAGCAGCGAAGGGAGCATGGTGCGTCCTAGGGGGTGCTTGCAGGGGGGCAGTGAAGGGAGTCGTAGGGCGTCGCCGCACAAAGGCAAGAGTCGTGCCTGTTGCTTGCGGATCCGCCAATCGCCACCTGCTGCTTCTAACCCTTTGTTTCTGCGCTACTTCTGTGTGTCTCTCTCTCCCCATGTGTGTGTGTTTCTCTCCCCATGTGTGTGTCTCTCTTTCCCCGTGTGTGTGTGTCTCTCTCCCCGTGTGTGCCTCTCTCTCCCCGTGTGTGTGTGTGTGCCTCTCTCTCCCCGTGTGTGTGTGTGTGTGCCTCTCTCTCCCCGTGTGTGTGTGTGTGCCTCTCTCTCCCCGTGTGTGTGTGTGTGCCTCTCTCTCCCCGTGTGTGTGTGTGTGCCTCTCTCTCCCCGTGTGTGTGTGTGCGCCTCTCTCTCCCGGTGTGTGTGTGTGTGCCTCTCTCTCCCGGTGTGTGTGTGTGTGTGCCTCGTGGCCTGCGAGTTGGAGAGCAATGGCAGCACGTGGATGCCTCAAGTGAAGGCGTGGCGCAACACTGGGAGAGCAGCGGACAGATCATGGTATGTGCCAGGGGGTGCTTGCAGGGGGGCCGTGAATTGAGTCATAGGGTGTCGCCGCGCAGAGGCAAGAGTCGTGTCTGCTGTTCTTGTCTCTGCTACTCGCCTCTTCTCCTGTTTCTCCTAACCCTCCCTTCTGTGCGTGTGTTTTGTCTTCCCATGATTGTGAGGACGGAGCAGGGGGAGGGGTGGAAGGGGAGGGGGGTGGGAGGGGTAGAGGAGGGGATGGGGTGGGGGGGCGGCTCCTGTCCTTGTTTGCGTGTGCGTGCCTGTGAGTGTGTCTCTTACGCTCCAAGCCTTGGAGTGCGTTGTGCATCGGTGGGATGGAGACAACATTTCTGTTCCTTGTGCAAGACAAGATGCAGCAGCAGGTGAGCGCATCCTCCATTGCGTCTTGTCTCAGTCCCTTCTCCTGCTGCCATCTGCCATCTATTCTGGCTTGTCGGTGCTCGTTCACATCCTCAGCCCCTCATCCACTCGCCTCTCCTCTCCTTGCTCTCACGCCTCTCTTCCTCCTCCTTGCCATCCTTACCCCCCCTCACCTCCAGCACTCAAAAGGGAAGTGGATGCGGCAACTGCAGGATGATGGCGAGCACACAGGCCGTGGTGGTGGCACCAGCAGTTGCAGCATAAGGAGTGAGTACAGCTTATTCTACTGCATCTGAGGGTCCTCTTGGTGTTGGTTGTTTAATATCACCTGTGCTCTGTTCTAAGCTTCCAAGTCATACCATCTCCCTTCATCCTTGCCTTGTGTTGCTCGTTCTTTCCATCTTCAGTATCCTGCTGTTATGGCGCCCTCACCTCTCTCCTTCTCCATATCACATGGCTCTGGCAACAGCTCTGCAGGAAGCAGTGGGAGCAGCAGCAGTGTATGGTAAGTGTGGGTTCTGCTCGCCTCTCACTTACTGCTTGCTCCACAATGGCGTTCTGAATCTTTTTTGCACCTTTTTCATACCTTTGGTTCAAACAGAAAATGCGCCCAATGGTTTACAAATGCTTTGAGCAGACTCTGGCTGTTGCTGTGCTCAGCAGAGGCAGTTTGTTGGGTGTGTCTAGGTGTGTTTAGCAGTGCTTAGATGTGCTGTGCTTAGGTGTGCTGTGGTTAAATGTGTTGCGCCGTTGCTGTGCTGGATGGGCCTGCATGTTGTAGAGCAGGTGGGTGGGGTGGGCAACCTGGAAGGCTCCTGGGCCCAAACAGTCAAGCAGGAGAGAGAGTGAGAGCGGGGTGGAGCTGCCATGAGAGGCACGTGTACTGTGATGGGGAGAGAGTGGGGATGCAGAGCACCCACCCACCTGCGCTGCATGCAGCTTGCATGCATACACAGAGCAAGTCACCACAAACCGGATCTCGGTCAGGCAAATCCTTCTCACACACAAGCAGGTATGGCAGTGACTGACAAGAAAAACGATTGGTCACATTTCCTGGAGTACAGGAGTGGTCAGGGGTATATACCCACCACTTATAATCGCAATGCTGCTGCTGCAACAAGAGCAGTGACTGCGGTGCAGCAAGGGCAGGAAGCTACCCAACATGACAGTTGCTGTATCGCTGCATTCCTCTCCACTTGTCACTGAACAAGAAAGGCTCTGCGGGCTTTTCCCTGTGCTGGCCGAGCAGCCATCCATGTCTGCACCCACAGTCGTTGTCATGCCATAGCCACCAACCATCCAGCCAGCCAGCCTACCAGCCTACTAGCCTACTAGCCAAACCTCTGACCAGCCAGCCAGCTAACGTGATGGGAGGGTGCAGATGGTGGTGGTGGTGACAGGGACTGACAGTGAAGCAATGCCATACTGTGTGTGCATTGGGCTCAGCATATAGTTTCTGGTGCAGCCTGCAAGACAATCAAAAGTAGAGAGAGACACGCAGAGCAACCCTCCAACAACTGTCAACCCAGCAGAGGTATTACACAGAATTCCAGTGCCCAATCAACACGGCATGTGGTTGTCATTGTCAGTCCAGCAGTGGCGGCATGCCCCACACATCCAGCACCAGTCCCGGTGCGGGTAAGGGGTCTCCACAATTGTTCAAGCCCCCCCTCGCCAGCCCCTTGTGCACCGCCACCGCCACTGCCACCACCTCCCCTACCTCCTCCCCTTCCTCCTCCTCCCCGTGCTCCTCCCCCTGCTCCTCCTCTCCCTCGTCCTTCTCCCCTCCTGTCCTCTCCCCAACGTGGTGGGCGCGGGTGCTGGCACGGGGGAGCAGCAGCAGGGCAGCAGCGGGAGCACCTGCGCCCTGGTCGTACGTGCCGTGCAGCAGAGCGCTGTCACACGCCGATGCCACCATGGCGTTGGATGGCGGTGAGTTGGTGGTTGTGGTGGATAGCGTGGAGGTGGAGGAGGCGTGTGTGGCGGAGAGGCGGGAGTGGAGGGTGGAGAGGCGGCCGTAAGTGTATGCCAGGATGCCTGGTTGAGACGCCCCGAATATGGTGCGCGGCAGGTCACACACCTGTGGGGGGTGGGGGTGGGGATGGGGATGGAGAAGGGGGGGGGGGCATGCGTGGGAGAGAACCTGCCATGTACCTGGGGGCATGGGTGAGGAGAAGGAAGCGCAAGCGCACACCTGAGGGGAGCCCAGTGGGGTGTCGTGGCGGGCGAAGGAGTTCCAGCAGAAGGCATCCGTGTGTATCAGCAGCACCCGCGCGTCCCCTTCCTCCCCCTTCCTCTCTTCGCCCACAACCCGCTTCCCGGCAGCCAATGCCATGCTGACAGCTGGCATGGAGCCGCGTGCGAAGGGCACGGGGTTGGCAAGAGGAGGTGGGGTGACCTGCACTTGAATATGAGCGGGTGGCTCAGGGGGGGCACTCTCTGCCTCTGCCTCTGCCTCTCCCACCGCCTTGTCATTCTCCGTGCCCCCCTTGGCCAACTGCTGAGCGGCGTGCAGGAGGGAGTGCGTGGGTAGGCAGAGCTGCACGTGGCGCACAAACACTAGTGGGCCTGCTTCCACCCCATGGGGGGTGTGCGTGGCCCCACTTGCTGTGTGTGTGCCACTGCTTTGAGCGCCCGCAAGGGAGAATGCCACCACTGCATCGACTTGCACACCCATGCTGCCTCCACTGATGCTGCCATTGCTGCAGCCACCACTGCTGCTGCGGTTGCTGCTGCCACCGCGGCTGCTGTTTCTAGCACTGCCGTTGCTGCTGCTTGGCGCATTGCTGAAGGTGCTGTGAACGGCTGCTATGGCGAGAGGCGTGGATGGTGATGGTGTAAGCTGCGAGATGCAGAAGGGACGGCCCACAGACACGCATGCAGTGCTGAAAGCACCAGCACCGCTACCATTATTATCCGCTGGGGAGTTGGAAGCGTGATGAGCAGGGAGAGGAGGCAGAGAGCAGACTAGCACCCGACCCATGAGCCCACATGATTGACCCTTGCTGCTCCCCCTCTCCCCTCCACCCTTGCTGTGCCTGCTTGCTTCTTCGTCTGCCCTCTGCCCATCTCCACCACTTGCTTTTGTGGAGTCATCAAGAAGGTGGTTACCACTTGGAATGTACGCCTCTACACCCACCACCACCACTCCAGACCCATCCACTCCCCTCTCCTCATCCTCCCCATGCTTTGGGCTCTTCCCTTGCTGCTGCTGCTGCTGCCGCTGCTGCTGTTTACTGCTAATCTCCCCATCCTCGTTAGAAGCTGGTCTCTCCAGACCAACAGTGCTCCACGCGACTGAGGAAAGCTGCGTGCTACTGCCAGCCTGCTGCGGCATACGCTCTGGAAGGTCTATCCTCGATATAAGAGTGAGAGCTAGCGAGTCATAAGCGAGCCACAGGAGGATATGGCCGCCACACGCATCACTGGCTACCAGCACAACCCCGTCCACACCCGTCCTCCTCCTCCTACTTCCCTCTCCCATCCCATCTCCTCCTGCCCCTCCTCCCTGAAACGTGCCATCTCTGACAGCCACTGTCATGCCGTACAGCAGGTCTAACACACTTACAGATGCCACCCGCCCAGATCCCACCTGCTCAGACCCCACCTGTCCAGTTTGAGTCTCTCCCCCCTTGCGATCAGCTCTACCCCCCTTTCCACTTTCCACCTCACAAGCAGACAGAAGTTCCCCGCCCGGCAGTGGGTTGCTGTTGATCACTGTTTCAGGCGGGTGGGCGGCAGGGAGGGATGGGGCGATTTGAACAGTGTAGACAGGGGAGGAGGGCGGGTCCAGTGGGCTGTCTGGTAGCCAATGGATGGTTAGGATGGCAAAGGAGTGCGAGGAGGAGGAAGAGGAGGAGGAGGAGGAGGAGGAGGAGGAGGAGGAGGAGGAGGAGGAGGAGGAGGAGGAGGAGGAGGAAAAGTTATGCCAAGCCACACCATATCTCGTGGAGTTGGCGGGCAGTGGAATGACGGCCACGGCAGGACGAGAGAAGGGGGGAGGCGGCGAGGCGACGTCATCAGCGTAGGGAGCGTGGGTGGCGAGGTGGGAGGAGGGCGCGGTGAAGAGGCGGAACATGATGGGGTCGATGTTGGAGGCGAAGCGGAATCCGGGCGTGTGGGTGAGGTTGGCTGAGAGGTACACGTCTGCAAACATGGCAAATGCCCTCTCGTCCTGGTGGTGGGGCGAGGCGGGGCAGGGCATGAAGGAATGCGGGAATGGATGGCAAGGGAGTTGGATAGTGCAAGGCAATGGCATACTGACAGGCAAGTTGCATATGACTCGAGCAGCAGCAAGGGCACAGGAGTGCTACTTAAGAATCTCACTTGTATCTCACTTGTATCTCGTGTGAAGCTCACTTGAGGCTCACCTGAGATTCACCTGAGGCTCACCTGAGGCTCACCTGAGATTCACCTGAGGCTCACCTGAGGCTCGTAGAGCACGAGGGCATAGGGCGAGTCCTTGAACTTCATGAACTGCTGCTGCGCTGCTGCCGCCCACCAGGTGAATGTGGCGTCATGGTTGAGCACCTGACACAGGTGAATGTGGCGTCATGGTTGAGCACCTGACACATGTGAATGTGGCGTCATGGTTGAGCACCTGACACATGTGAATGTGGCGTCATGGTTTAGCACCTGACACATGCCCACCGCAGCAGGTAAATGTGGACTCATGCCACACATGCATGAACATGCCACGTTTCAAGTGTACCTCATGCCATCAATGAATGTACATGTCTGGCGCACCCCTGCCACACCTGTCACATGCCATGCGCCACATGCTGCATGCCTGGAAGCGGTCGGAGGCATCATGCGGGTCGTTGGTGGTGGCGGGGCGGCTGGTGAGGTCGTTGTCGTCCCATGCTATCACCCACGGCCGCCACCGCTGCGCCACACACTTTCCACCCATCTGCTCACGAGGGCGGGGGAGAACCCGGGGGAAGAAAGGGTGAGGGTGGGTCTGATGGGGGTGGAAACGGGACACAGAGGAGTTGAGGGCGGCAGTGGGAGGCGAATACACCAGCACGGACGCATAGGGAGAGATGCTGTCATGTGGTTGAAGGAGACGCTTAATAATGCACCTCGAAAGAACAATCCAGAGCAGGCGTGTGTGAGGGGCTCACGTCGTTGAGGAAGAACTCGGTGTTGAGGTGGAGCTCTTGCAGGGCGGTAGAGGCACGCAGGAAGAAGTCGTCAAACAGCCTCATCCACTGCCGCACTGCCTCGTCCCCCCACCTTATGCCGTCTCCCCCCTGCCTTGCCCCGCTCGCTGCAGATGTACATGCACCAGATTCGCCTGTCTCAGATGCACCTGTCCCAGATGCACCAGATGCGCCTGCATTGGCGGTGTTGTTTTTACTGGATAAATCTGTACCACGTGCCATCCCTCTCAGCACTCTCGTGCTGCTGCCACGTGGCACCGTGGGGCGCATTCTGATGGCCTTCTCTTCAGCAACGTCGCCACGTGGCACATCATGACTGGTGACTTGAGCTGACATGGCAGCGCGGGTGTGATTGGTGGTGCAGAGGAGTGGACGGTTCTTGGGGCACAGCTGGCTTGGCGGGTTGTAGGACGAGTGGGGAGAGAGGGGGAGGGTGAGTTGGAGGTTTGAACGAGTGGTGCCAAACAGCGCATGTGAATGAGGTAGCATAATGAGACAGAGGAGTTGAGAATTGCTGCCATGTGCATTTGTTAGCCACGCATGCAAATTCTAGCCCCCCACGCCCCATGCCACATGCCCCACACTCCACGCCCCACTCCGCACTCCGCACTTCGCAAACCCACCCTACCTGGATGTAGAGCCGCGGGCGCGGATACGTCAGAAGCCCGCGATTGGCCGGGTCACGGAGGAACGCGATGACGTCATCGCTGGTGTTGAGCTGGCGGCTGAGCCACGTCAGCGAGTGCACCAATCCGAAGCAGCCATGTGGGTTGTACTGCCAGTGCGGCCCCACCTGTGATGAACACGGAAGGCAGAGGAGGACAGAGAGAAGAAGGAATGGAGGGATGGAGAAGGGGTGCGGTGGGGGGGGAAAGGGAAGAGGAGGGATGATGAGATGAGAGTGAGAAAGGTGGGAGGAGCGAGGATGGAAGCAGGGGAGGACGGTAAGGGGAGGGCAGGGAGCAGCACGGGGAAGGAAGTCCCCCTCGCCCCTAGCCCCTCGTCCCTCGTCCCACCTGCAGGGCGCATCTGAGAGGGGTGCCGCACCTGCAGTTTGCACCTTGCGGGCGGCATCCAGGAAAAGTCGATTTTGACGTACTCCACGCCCTTCACCAGCGCCGCGCGCCACTCGCGCACGTCGTTCCACCCGTGCGCCAACAGCCCTATCGTTGCGCGCCGAGCCTCCTCCTCCTCATCCTCATCCGCATCCTGCTGCTCTTCCGATTTCCCCTCGCCCCCTTCCTCCCCCAGCCCCTCGCCGCCTCTGCTCCCGCACACGAGCACTAGCAACGCCAACAGCAGCAGCAGGACTATCAGCCGCCGTGCGGGTGCGGGCGAGCGGGGTGAGAGCCGCTGAAAGGCATTGGAGGCCTGCAGGGCTGTCGTCGCCATCGTCTGAACTCTCAACTTGCGGGGCCGCCGTCACGGGCGCCCCTCGAGAATGAACGCGCGCGAGAGCTCTAAAAGAAACTCGCGTGAGGTCGCGCGAGATGCGGAGCGGCGATGGCCTGCCAGTCGCAATACCTGACGAACGGCGAGATCGGGTATTGTGCTTTCGCACTACATCGTGTGTCCCTGCTTGTGCTTTTGCGTGCTTGGATTTGTACGCGTATGAGAGGCCCCGTTTGTCCAACATGCTGAATATGTACGCGTACGAGAGGCCCCGTTTCGTGAATTGTAGCAGTAGAGCAGAGCAGAGTAGTTGTACTTTGGTTATGAAATTTCGGCATCTTTGATCGTTTGTGTCGATTGGAACAACCATCGCTGTTCCCAGATTGGTCCTCGGCAGAGACAGTGGCAGGCGAAAAACATTTCACCCAATCCCGTACCAGCATCGCCCGCAGATCTCTCCTCACATTCATGCTGGTGCGTGTCACGCGCATTCGCTGCACCCTTGGGATCTCCGTGCGCCAGGAATATCTCTCACCCCCGTCTCCGCCACCGCCACTTCCTCCGCTCCCCCTCCACACCCCAGATCCACTCCCCTCCCCCCTTCCCGCCTCCACCGTTCTCCACCCCTCCCTGATTGCGGCTTGCTTCGGAGACAGCAGCAGCAGCACCTCGAGATTGGACAGACAAGCAGCCTCCTGGTCTGCCTGCCTCTCTGCCTAACAAGCTGCAGCAGTAGCGGGACGTGCGTGCTGCTTCGCTTCTGTGCGTCCGCTTGCCTGCAGCTCACCACGTGGCCGGATCTGCTGTGCCTCGTCGTTGCTTTCTCCGATTCTTCGGATTCCAGTCGACAGCCTCGGCGCTTTCTCTCGCGTCGAATCGCCAGCCTGGTCTCTAGGAGCTCGAAGCGATTCACCGTGCAGCTATCCAGACAGCTTTTATCGAATCATACCGTAGCAGCAGCCATGGCGTCGCGTCGTCACCTGCAGCACGCGGTCCCCGTGCCCGCCATCCGCCGCCTGCTCGCCGCGTCCACCGCGCCGGTGGTTCCGCAGGCTGCGCCCGCAGCGGCAGCGGCGGCGCTGCATGTTCAGGCGGCTGGCGGACACGCGGTGAATGCACAAGCTAAGGAGATCCGATCCGCATCGTACACCACCACCAGCATCAGGTGCGGGATAGCATCAGGTGCGGGATAGCATCAGGTGCGGGATAGCATCAGGTGCGGGATAGCATCAGGTGCGGGATAGCATCAGGTGCGGGATGGAATCTATGGCTTCCCATTCTCCTCTCACTCGCTAACCTGCACTCTCTCCATCCATCCTGGTGCATCACAACCCTAATCCGGCATAGGAAATCACGGATCCGCTGAAGCAACAGTCGTGAACGGCCGTTTGATCCCCATCTCGCTAATGTGAACCAACTGTCGAGCCTTGCTTCGCCTTCCTGCGTCAAGCAGATCGAAGAGCGTTACCGGACGCTCATACGCGCGCCTGAGGCCTTCCGAGTTCGCACTTTCTGTGTGCCGATTGGGAAAGAAACTCGTTACGTGTGCCGCTACCCGCGTTAGGGTTGCACGCCCTGGTGCAGCACGCCTGAGCCCTGCGCTGTATACACTGCACGCATTCGCGCTGCATACGCGGTATGATGCACCGCGTTTGCGATTAATCATGTCGTGTCGAGTGCCCTCGTGTCCTGTCGTCCCCATTTCCCCTTCCGCAGCTCCCCGCTCATCCCCGCTTCCGCCCGTTCCGCCTCCGCCGCCAAGCCTTCCGCTCTGCTCGATTCCCGCGCGCCATCCGCACACCATGCGTCTGTGTCGCTGCCGGGGATGTCCTTCCGCTGGAACTCTGCGCGCAAATTCTCCGCCGCCGCCGCCGCCGCCTCCGCCTGTACGTGTCTTGACGTCGCCTGCATGTCGATCGCGACAAATAAGAGTCAGCAGATTCGTTTTCTCCAATGCGATTTGATTGCAACGGTGTCCCGGACGTAAACGACAATGCGTGTCCATTCCGCCCCCCATGCCACATCTCCTCCCCCGTCTCCCTCCGTGCCGCAATGCAGTTCCGCCTCACCAGCCCGTCGCCATGGTGACTTTTGTGTCGACTCAAAAGTCATTCCGTCCCTCTTGTCACATACATCTCTTTCCCCCCCCTCTCCATGCCGACATGCAGTTCCGCCCCACCAACCCGTCGCCATGCCGTCGCTCTCCCCCACCATGACGCAGGTTGGTACTGGGCCAGGTCGGTACTGGGGCAGGTGTCACCGGGCTGGTGACTGCTGGGGCGGGTGAGAGCTGAGGCAAGTTGCCGGGCTGGTGGCGGGTTGGTGCTGGGTCGGATTAGTTGGTAAAGGTGGCAGGTGAGGTGGCTGATGAGCATTGCAGCACAGCATTGCAGCACAGCATTGCACGGGTGGGGGGGGTAGGGCTTTTCTGTCCACCTGCCACCCACACCTCACACACACACGCTCCCCTTCCTCCCCCCACTCTCCCGCCCGCCCTTCCCCCCAGGGCAACATCGCCAAGTGGTGCAAGGCGGAGGGCGAGCAGGTGAACGCGGGCGACGTGCTGTGCGAGATCGAGACGGTGAGTTTGTTGCGCGTGGAACGATTCCGGTTGTTGTTGCTTGCAGACAGCATGTGTGCTGCACATGCATTTGACAGGCATGCGATCTCACAAGAGCACCCCTTTTGTTGCTATGCCATGTCATGGCGCGTCTGTGCATGGCATGTCTGTGCACCCCTTTTGTTGACATGACATGACATGACATCATGTTGCATGGTGGTACTACTACATGATATGACATGTGTATTAATCATGGTCATGCATCATGGTTCATGTGGTTTTGGGGGGATGTTACATGTCTCATGTGGCATGCGTCATGCATGCCTGCACCATGCACCATGCACCATGCATGCACCCACGGCAGGACAAGGCGACGCTATCAATGGAGAGCATGGAGGACGGCTTCCTCGCCAAAATCCTCATGCCCGAGGGCTCCAAGGACATCCCCGTCGGCACTGTGAGTCACACACAGTCACAGCCAGTCAACGCCAGTCAACTCCAGTCAACGAGGAAGATATTTATTAGCAGATTCAGGTCACCCCAGGGCTCCAAGAACATCCCCATTGGCAAGTCAACCAAGAGGACCAAGCGGACCGATCAGTTGATTGACACGTAAGAATCTTCTGAATTCTACTGTGTTGCACACATCCTTCTTTGTCTCACCAGAACTTGTGTTTTGTGCCGCACCTGCCTTACAGCTACCATGTTTATCCTCCCACCCCATATCGTCCTGCCCTCTGCCACCCTCAGCTGATAGCAGTGATGGTGGAGGATACCACCGAATTGTCCAAGGGCTTACCCTCTCCCCTCTTCCTTCACATGTCCTCGCTTCCAACAATCCCCTCCCATCATTCTTCCCCTTTATCGCGCGCAGCTGATAGCAGTGATGGTGGAGGACAACACCGAGCTCGCCAAATTCGCATCCTTCACTGCTGCTGACGCCGGTGCCTCCGCGCCCCCTGCCGCTGCTGCCCCGGCCGCTCCCTCCGACGCTGGCTCGTCCACACCCCCATCAGGTGCACGGGAGAAGAGAGGGGCTAGAGGTGGTGACGGGAGAGTGGTGGTGTGAGAGGCGGGGCTGAGGTGGGGAGGAGAGAAGCAGGGGCGAGGTGAGGAAGTGGACAGCTGAGGTTGAGATGGGTTAGGAGGGGGAAGGGAGGGGGGGGGGGGGGGGGGGGGGGGGGGGGGTTGTGGAGAGGAGGAAAGGCGGGATGAAGAACGGTTGCGGGATTGTGGGGCACGGTGGTTGCTTGCTCCGCCTTCTTGTTGCCTCTACTTCCTGCGCCAACACTGACACCTTGTCCCTTGCCACCGTTTTCTCACCACCCATGCTTGCCGTGCAGATTTGCCGCCCTTCCATTCGCTCGCCATGCCATCGCTCTCCCCTACCATGACCCAGGTGCTTACTGCTCATGTGCTTGCTCGTTGTGTGACCCGCGTGTTGTTCATGTGCGGTTCATGTGCCATGCCATCGGCTCTACCTGACCCGGGTACTCTTCCTGTGCATGCTCTTACCCACCGCATCCATTCCAATCCCATCCCAAACAAGTCCATTCCATCACACGGTGAAACCATGTCATCCCTCACCCATGCCATGGGCCCCCTTCCCCCTCTCTTCCCACCTCCTCTCCATTCCCGCTCGACCCTTCCCTTTCTAATCAATTCTTCCCCGCCCGCCTCCAACAGGGCAACATAGTGCGGTGGCGCAAGTCAGTGGGCGACGCGTTGGCAGCGGGGGAGGTGCTGTGCGAGATCGAGACGGACAAGGCGACCCTGGAGATGGAGGCCATGGACGACGGCTTCCTCGCGTCCATCCTCGTGCACGCCGGCGCCAAGGACGTTGCCGTCGGCACGGTGAGTTGGATGGGTCGCACTGAGTGGCGCATGTGCGTTGGATGGGTCGCACTGAGTGGCGCATGTGCGTTGGATGAGCTGGTACACGCCGTGTGCGTGCATGTGCCTGCGCACTGGGTGATGCGTGCATGGCGCATGGCGCGCTCGTCTCCCCCTTAGACTGCATCCGCCAGACTGATCAGCTCAGCAGTAGCCACCAGGGGCTCTTCCAGGCTGGCAGAATAACATCTTCAGTTGATTCAATCCCCATGCCCTCCCGCTCCTTCTCCCCTCTAACCTCTCCCCTCTCCCCGCGCCCCTCTCCCCTCTCCCATCCCCCTTTCCCACTTGTTGCCCCCATCAGCCCATGGCTGTGACAGTGGACGATGCAGAGAGCGATCCCCAGTTTGCCAACTACATGCCGCCCTCTGCGTCCGCCCAACACTTTCCCTCTTCCCTTTACCCCTCCCGTTTCCCTCTCCCCCTTCCCTCTCCTCTTTCCCGCTCCCATTTTCCCTCTGCTCCCCCCCCCTGCCCCCATCAGCCCATCGCCGTGGTAGTGGATGACTCAGAGAGTGTCCCCAAGTTTGCCAACTACACGCCACCC